GTATTGGCATCCTAAATGATATTTAGGTACTGTACTTTTAAATAGTGACAGATGATGCAATATACCGTACTGTACTTGGCACTTTAAATTTTAAATATACAGTAGTTATAAAAAATAAACTACCCGTCCTCGTTTTTGCATAATGAGTTTGCATGAATACACTGAAGTATTGGCTTTTTTTTGGGGTGGGGGGCATATCTTTGATATAATCTACTGGATTATTGAATGGTATTTTGTATTTTTTTTTTTTTTTTTTTTTTTTTTTGTTATTCCGACTTTTACCCGGTTATCCATTCCTCAGTCCTTACCCGTTGGCAGGCTTCTTGGTTGTCTGTTACTGGTAACAAGCTACGTACTCTTAAATGTTGTGTTTCCTCGTGGCCGTCCTCCTTCCACCGTAACCGGCGGTGGGAAACAGCTCTAGCGAGGTTGCGTATTGGCCATACTCGCTTAACCCATGGTCACTTGATGGAGCGCCGCCCTGCTCCTTATTGTCCTAGTTGCATTGTCCCTCTTACGGTCGTGCATGTCCTTCTTGAATGTCCTGACTTCCAGGACGAGCGTGTGTCTTGCTTTCCGACCGCCCCTCGCGGTCACCTGTCCCTCGATAGAATTCTTGGTGACTCGGATACTTTTGATATCGTTCGCCTTATGCGTTTTTGTTCTCGTATTGGCATCCTTGGTGATATTTAGCGCCCTCTGATTATTTTGCGTATTTGATGGTGCTACATAGCCTTCCCGGTTTGGTGCCTTCTTTTGATAATTACTTACTTACTTGTATTTTTTGTTACCTTCATATTAGCTTTGTATGAATAGTTAAAAAAAAACCTCTATGGTTCTTCTGTTTTCATGTACTATAATACAAGTCCTTATTGTCAAAAATAATGATCTGACAGGAATCTTAATTTTTTATTTACAAATAGAGCAGGAGGTGAATGATTCAAACTGTAGGGTACTGAATGCTAGTACTGCAGTATACGGTATCAATCACCATGTAGTTGGTCGTATTTTTACACATGAATGATTTAACCTAGGAATTTGTGAAATATATATATATCGGTATACATGTTTACTGTAAGCTACTCAGCTTTGTTCTTCCATGTCCGAGCCACTGTAAACAATGTACTGTACCCTGAAAATGTTAAAATGTATAGTTATTACCTCATGCTACAATGTTTTTCATTGTTGTGTACTGTCTATCCATTAAATCTGTCCATTGTAAGGTGTTGTATCATTGTCCTGGAATTATTCGAGTAAAATGGAAAACGACTTTGAAATCAAACTGGTCCTTGACTGCTTTAGAACCTGATTAATTTTATTTGATGTGGCAATTATGCTCCACAAACTCCTAACAACAATGTTTTTAATTTCTATTTTAACTTCCAACTAGATTAATCTGCCATTGTAATAAAATGTAAACGGGCAACCAGAGAAGACTTCTCTGGTGCAACAAGATGATACTTAGCAAGGTACAGTAGTAGGGATATGAAGTAAAATAGAAGGTACCAAGGCAGTCAATACCAGGTAGGTAGGGGGGGGGGGTGTGTGTGGGGGGGGGTGTGTCAGGTGCTAACTAGTGATTGGACCTAGATAACAAATGTGTATTTAGATTTTTCCTTGGGTACTGTGGGCATCTCTTATACCCAGACTATCCTATGCCCGTCTTGAGAGGGCCAGATTTTGGTCCTATGCCAGGATTCGTCAAGCATTTATGCACGAACTTTAAAGTCTGTACATCATTCCTTAATCATGGGAGCTTTAATATATATAAACAGTTTACAAGTTCCGAAACTTTATAAACAAAGATTGTTACAATCTATCTCATTGCTTTGAAGCTCAAACTAATAAATGTAAACAAAGCCACCACGATTAAGGAAAGATGTAGAGGTTTTGTAAGTACTGTAGTTGCATAAATGTTTAATGAATCCTGGTCCTGGTCTCTGGCAGCTGCTCATGATTTGTTAAAGGCAGTTGTGGTACCCAAGGTCTGGAAGGTTCCTAGTGGCTAGTTTGGGAAAGCATCAATGGTGCCTAACCAGAAGAATTAACTATGTAATAAGAGATTAAAAATAAATGCAGATTTGCATTATTTCCAATATATTACAAAAAATAATAAAGTAGATAACCAATATTTAAAAACTACATTTGTATCTTCAGTGCAGAAATATTTTCGATCACCTTTGTTGCTATATTCCTGTAGCTTGTAGCCTGAAAAGATAATTTTAAGATATGTTAGGTTATCAAACAATTTGACAATACAATCATATAATATAGAGACCCCATATAATATCTTCGATAATGTTATACAAACGGCTATTAATGTTGTTAAACAAAACAATGATATGAATGGGTTAAAAATTTACAGAAGCAAGGTTAGTGAACAAAATCATAAATGAACATGCAAATTTCCAAAAACTGTGGACAAGATTGTAAATGGAAAGCAAATTACTGTACCTAAAAGGAGAGGGAACTATCATATGAGGTACCAAGCCAGGAAGACTATGTAGGACCTTCTAAATCGCAAGACATTCAAAAGGTACTAAATATCACTCAAGGAGAGTGATAGCATCCTTGGTGAATACCTTTGTTAACGAGACAAATGACCCCTAGGGACGTTAGGAAAATGAAACACTCAAACGCCCTAAAAATCAGGGCAATCGGCAAAATGGTGCATGAATAAGTAAGACAACATAGTTTGGATGATAGAGTGCAGGATGGAGTTTTATTAAGTGACCATAAGTCGAGCAGGTGTGACCAATTCACAACCTAGTTAGGGCATCTCCAAATGCCTATTACTGTGGTAGGAAGAAGGCCAAGTATAAAGGTCACCTTTAAGAGCCTCACCATGCAAGAAAGCAGCTAGGCGAGTAAATGTCTCCTTAGATGGGGAGGACCTTGATGACACGGGTTCCAGTCCAAGTAGGAGTACAGTACACTGAACCAATCTAACGGGGACGGGGTAATAGCTCTACTCTGTCCACCACCCTGTCCTTAGTTAATTAAACTTAGAGACCCCAGAGCCCTACTTCTCAGCCCTTAGTCCTTCCTGCTCCTCGTGATCTTAGATGATTGACCGACTTAGATACTACAAAGTATGGCCAATACGCAACCTCGTCAGAGTCGTTTCCCATCGCCGGTTATGGTGGTAGGAGGACGGCCACGGAGAGACACAACTCTTAAGAGTATGCAGTTTGTTACCAGTAACAGAAGACCAACAAGTCTGCCAAAGGGTAAGAATGGAGGAATGGATAACCAGATAAAAGTTGGAATAAGTGCCACCACCAAACCGTCATAATCTTGAAGATTAATAATTGGGGTTTGGACCAATTAATTAACCATTAAATCCATGGGGTGGGTTATCCCCAATTAATTGAAAAGGGAGGTATAACTTTAAGTGTGGAATTCAATAGAAAACAAGGGGATACTATATCAGATTTTAAAATGGACTAGGCTTGCTTGCAATATGAATACCGACTTAGCCCAATAACCCAGACTCTTGGAGACCACGGCAAAGAGAATCACATGTAATTATTGGAAAACTCAAAAAACACCATAAATATTAAACGAAGTTTATTAAAACAAAGCTCATCAAAATGGAAATAAAAAACGAGCACTCCCTATCTTTTAACACTCCCTAACTGAAATATATTCCTAAGAGGCACGAATGGAGAATTAACTGTGCCAAACCCTTAGCACTATACCGTAATCTAAGACACCAGCTGATGTTGTTCTGGCTTCTAGAAGTGAGATGGCGACCTCCCAACTGTTCACTCCACACTGCCCTAGCCTCCTCTCCTCAACACTGAGCTAGCTAGTATTACTCCGCCTGGTTATTAATTACCAAGCAGGGTTAATTGTACAAACTAATCTTACTTTACTGGCCAACTCGGATGGTTGAATTGCTATTGAAACTGATGGTAATTCTATAGGCAACTTGGGGAAAGGCTATTTCCAATTACAATACTGAATAGTGCTCTGAATTTATACTTTATGAATTAATAATATGGGAGGTTGTGGTATGTTGGACGCCTTACCTTTGATCCACGGTAGACACCCGACGAAACTAGTACCCTCCCTACTGACGTCACTTTCTTTGTGACAGTATACGAACCTTGATCTTTACTCTACCTTCATATATACTGTACTTAACATATATATGTTTACCTAACATATATACTTAAACCAGATAGGTTATTAGTGTAATTACTGTATTTATTGAAATATTCATTACTTGTTGAATTAATACCAGAGAAACAGCCATTTCATTTTTCTAAACCTGCTAATCCCTTAATCCCTGGGGAGATGACCTTCCCTTCCAAAGTCGGGTAAACTCTCTCACTCCAAGTTTGCAAAACCACATGGTCTGGGATTCTATAACTTTTAACAACAAGCTTAATTTGTTACACCAAAGCATCTACAAAATCAGTAAGTCATCTATGTATGTAGGTCATCAGAGCGAGAATTGCCACCATGAGATATCAAAGTATTTGGGCCATGCAGTGAGGCCAAACAGTTCCTGAAATGTAGTTGTCAGTACAGGAAATGTGCGTACTCGACAGCAGGTATGTCGCCTCAGGCCTCCCAGAAGGAGGGGAGCAAAAACTGCTGTAGTAATTACTATGGAACAGGTCACACCTGGTGACATGGTAGACATCACTGGGGACTCCCTTGGCAGGTCGACTTTGAAGAGATAGAGGAGGGGAGAAGAAGTGAAGGGATAGTCAAAGATAAAGCCTGGTCTGGGCCCATCACAGCCAGTTATTGACCACGATTCGACTCTGAGGTCTGGTCACCTAACCCACGTGTCTGATATCAAAATATCAAATGCTTTGTGAGTGAACTAAACCACCTCTAAGGGTCGGTACATTAAAGTACGATAGTGCATTAAAATTTTACCTGTGGACTGTCCGGATTGGAAACTGTAATGGGTTGTCCTTTATCTGCACCTTGACGAATCTCGAGATTTAAGGGTACATCCCCAAGCAAATCGACACCTGTGAACAAATATTTTAATAATGCTGTAATCCTGATACTTTATTTCCAAAACCAGAAATATAATTTCTATATGTCACATAATCCACCCTTTGCAGTAAACAAAAAAAAATTCCTTGTAATTATGTTACAATAGTGTATGTGCTCACTTATCCCAACTAAATGGAAAGGTCCCTTAACTGGATAAGCAGAATTCTTACCAGGGAAGTCTAAAAGTAAACATATTCGCAATTTTTTTCCACAACCAACATAATTTGAATCTCTACACACACACACACACACACACACACACACACACACACACACACACACACACACACACACACACACACACACACACACACAAAGAGTGCTGGGAAGACGGGACACCACGAGCGTAGCTCTCATCCTGTAACTACACTTAGGTAAATTACACACACACACACATACACACACACACACTATAAAGAACAAATATACCAGTACTGCAAATTAAAACAGAAACTTCAGCTTATCTTGTAGTTTGTCTTTTTGATTGATGCTGCATACAGTACTGTATCTTCAAATCAATATTCTTGAAAATTCCTGGTCTGGGCCCATCCTGGTCGAGGCCAGACTGGCCTGGTCTCGACTTTGCGATTTACAATCTTTGTAAAATGCAAAACCCTGTAACAGCTATAAGCCTCACACTACCATAGATGATCAGAATCATTTGAAATTTCAGTGCCTGTGATTGGTTACATTTCAACTGACATAGAATTTGAGTATAACACATTTAACTGCATTGAATGATCATGTTCATTCTGATTTATCTTAAGAGCCAATCTGCATTCCTCTTATGCACTGAATAGTCTAATTTAATATTTCCAAGTTATTATGGAATAACACTTACCTAGTTCCTTGGCCATTTTATGCACCCCATCCTTGCCAAATATATGCTCCTGATGTCCACATTTTGGGCAACAAAATACACTCATGTTTTCAACAAGACCTAGCACAGGTATTTGAACCTTGCGAAACATTTCAGCTCCCCTACGTGCATCAAGAAGAGCAATATCCTGGGGTGTCGAGACAATAACAGCTCCTGGAAAGTTAAACATTGTAGCACAATTTAATTATTTGTCAAACTGGCAAATGTAGTCGGGCATCAAAAGTTTTAAGACCAAGAATCTGAAAATATTTGGAATAAGAAATTATAACAAATATAGTACATGAAATCTGTTCTTTAATTCAGCTTATACAAAAATTCTGAGAGCCCTAAAAAATCAGGCCTTAACCCTTAAATTGCACAAAACATCATATGAAGTGGAACATTTAGCTCAGCTTTTAAAATTTGCTGAAACTCTTTCAAATGTTTTGTGCATAATCTACTAAGCACATGCTCCAACTTTGTCTAAATGATACCGAGGTAACTTGAAAAACAAGATAATACAAAATAATAATAAAATTGAATATTGAAAACTTCAGATTTTGAAATCAGCTGCAAAAATATAAAATATCACCAATTGTTCATTTGGTGTTATTATGCTTTCAGAATAGCATATGATCTTCATTTCATACATTTAGAATATAGGTTTCCAGTAAAGTTTACTGTAAAAACAATTTGTCAATATGGCATTTGAAATATGCACAAATTTAGACAACAAAAATCTATAACTCCAAACGATTAGGGTTTATGAAAAATCAATTACTCGCCTTTCTGGTGGCTTTTTCTTAGTCTAAGTGATCTAGTATCCTCATGTTCCCTGCACCTCTTCAGAGGAAGGGGGGTGGGTTAGGCTTGACCTCTGGTCCCAAGTAGGTTTATAATTACTCACAATGGTCTGGCCTGAACTAAACTGGGTGGAGTTATTCATGCAGCCAACAACAGGGAGCTAACACAAGATCCCTCCCAGAAACATCATAAATCTTAATTTTTGTTGTAAATTTCTAAACATAAACAAAACATATGCTACAAGGCAAATACACCTACATACATTATTTAACTGTTTGACAGCAAGTATCTGCATATGTCTTTGGGCTCATGCAATTTTTGTCCCAAACATTTTCCCCATGATCATCTCATAACTGAAATATTTGCCTACATCTCTACAATATGGCACATCTTGGCTTTTTCATAAATAATGTAGGTGTCATGCTCTTACACTATAAACAAGAATAAATGGAAAAGTTGGAATATTGCTTTAGTAAACATGCACACATATAAGGTACAGTTCTGCAAATTAAATAAAAGTACAGTAAAGTACTTTTTCATATGTTTTAGAAAAGAGAATGTAAATACTGAAAGTACAGTAGTCATAAAAGCTAATCATATTAAAATTGCTTGTAAAAGATATTTTGATTTAATTTAATATGGCAGTTTTAAAGTTTTCAAGTACAAAAATAAAGTTCCAGTTTTCTTCCATACTGAACACGGGGATTAAAATTCAAAATATGGCATGCACAGATGAAATTCGTGGAAGCAGTCAATTGCCTACCTGTAACAGCCACTAGCTGAGATATAGAGAGTTGAGTGTCACCAGTTCCTGGTGGCAGGTCGAGCACCAGGTACTTAAGGTGACCCCATGCCGTCCGTAGCAGCAGCCTCTGAACTGCTGACATTACCATGGGCCCTCGCCACACAACTGCTGCTTTCTCTTCTACCAAGAACCCCATTGACATGCTGTTCATAAACGCTTTACTCATTATATATATATATACTCCAGCTATATATTAAATCTGAGAAAGGCACTCTGTTGCTCCTATATTCCCTTGGACAAGATTATGTACAGTCGGGGCAAGTCAATATTTCATGACCCAGAGTGTTCTTTAGAAGGATCATATATTTACTCATAAAACCATTCCAAATGCAACTCGGCATCAAATGAACTGCCAAAGTACACTTCTAGTCGCTAGTGCCAGGAGGTGAAGGGAAAAATGTGATCCACCTCCTCAAGAGATCCAAATAATGCAGGTACCAAGACCCCTCACCTGACGAGATAATCATTAAGAAGACTGCTATGTAAGCACTACACACACACACCACTGCTGCAAGGCAAAAAATCTTTGGAAATACTGGAATGCTAACATGCAGTTTAACTAACTGCAGAATACTAACATCCAGAACCCTTGAGCCTTGATCTCAACATAGGACAGAGCAGAAAAATAGTGCTTTTAGTGTGATAAACATCATGGCATGAAGATAAACCTGTGGCCAACTAATGAAGATTACACAAAGGAACTGGGAGAGCCTCACCTTAGCACAAAGTACCATAGTATGGGGGGGGGATGAAGAACAGTGACTAAGAGGAAAAGTGACTGAATGCCAAAAGGTAATGGCATATTGCAGCAACTGGGTAAAGAAAGAATGATAGCCAAACAACCCAAGCCTGTACCAATGAACAATTTGGGTGCACACACACACACAAGCATTCTGCTGACCAAAAGGGATAAATTAAGGGCATCAAAGAAAAGCATGAACCTTGCCAATGTAATGACCCATAGCCAGGGTCAAGGAACAACAGCCAAACCTGCACCACAATACTGCAGGGTTGTAACAAAATATCAATACCTCATTCTTAGTCAGAAGGCAAATTTATCACTGGGATCAAAACCCAAGGAACCTAAATATTGCAGCAAAGCAAGGAACTCCCAATTCAAAAACCTTCTGACCAAAGCCAACAAGAAGACAGCTTGCTATGTCAAATTATCAAACATTGGTAACATTTGGAACCGAGGTGAGGACAAGATCTAACAAAACATGAGTAACCAAGTAGCCTTCAAATGAGCATGAGACAGACTTTAATGAGAAAATGTCTGACAACTTGAATGAAGCAATAAGGGGAGTACCTAAGCAACAGAAAACTGAATTACTGTAAGGAAAGTCTTCAAAATGGCGAAATATTACCAGGAGAGTCCACAGGGTTCTGTACTTGGACCTATCCTGTTTCTGTAATATGTTAATGATCTCACAGAGGGTGTAGATTCATGCCTCTCAATGTTTTCTGATGATGCAAAAATTATGAGAAGAATTAAGACAGGAGGAAAGCAAGAGACTTCAGGATAACCTGGGCAAACTCAAGGAATGGTCCAACAAATGACTACTAGACTACTTCAAGTTGTAATGTGTTGAAAATAGGTGTAAGGAGCAGGAGGCCAGATACAAGATACTATTTGGGAAATGAAATCTTTCAAGAATCAGGAGAGAAAGATTTGGGGTTGACATCACACCGGACATGTCCCCTGAAGCCCACATCAAGAAGATATCAGCAGCAGCATATGCTCAACTGCCCAACAAAAGAACTGTCATTAGAAACTTGTGTAAGGAATCATTCAGGACTTTGTATACCAAATATATCAGACCAATCCTAGAGTATGCAGCTTCAGCATGGAGTCCATACCTAGTCAAGCACAAGACGAAGTTAGAGAAAGTTCAGAGATATGCCACCGGACTAATACCAGAGCTGAGGGGTATGAGCTATGTTGAAAGACTATTGGAATTATACCTCTCATCTCTATAAGACAGAGGAGATGGAGGAGACATGATTACCTACATGATTCTCAGAGAAATTCACAAGGTAGACAAAGCCTAATTATTTAGCATGGGATGGTATGTGAACAAGGGAACACAGGTAGAAACTTAGTACCCAAATGAGCCACAGAAACATTAGAAAGAATCTTTTCAGTGTCAGAGTAGTTAGTAAATGGAATGCATTATGAAGTGATGTGATGGAGGCAGACTCCATACATAAGTTTCAAATGTAGATATGACTGAGCCCAATAGGCTCAGGAACCTGTACACCAGTTAATTGCTGGTTGAGAGGCAGGACCAAAAAGCAGAAGCTCAACCCTCACAAGCATAACTAGGTGAATACTAGGAAAAGTTAGTCAACTGAAAGGATTCAGCCTCTGCAGAGCTGGAACCTTTGCCAGTGGACTCCAGGTGAATAATGAGGGAAGTCAGCACCTCAAACCCTCTTGTGTAGCTGGTGCTGCCACCTGATGGTAATGAGGTGGTGGGTTACTCAGTAACCATCAGTTAGCAGAATAATAAGTGTCTGTTTTCATGTCCCCTATTATTATTTGAAGGGGATGTTGAGTGATTCGTTTCATGAGCTGATACTATGGTAGTGGATGGAGAAATCTCCCCTCCTCTCCACTCCACAACTGAGGAGTGGAGAGGAGTCTCCACCTCTCAGTTGTGTAGCAACACTATTTGTAAAGTTCCTTGTCATGGTGGGGCAATGAGTGACAAGAGCTTGGCATCTCTTCAATGTCCTGTGTGAACCTTGGCTTTTGGCTCAGGGAGCAACTGAGTGGGCCCTGCTCAGACACCATCAACATGAACTGACAATAAATTTAAACAAAAATGTGATCCAGCAACATAAGCAGAATAGTGTTATTTAATTTTGTTTAAAGATGTTTTTTCTCCTGAGAATAAATCTCCTTAATTTAAATGACATTAAAAATCAGATGCATATCTGATTTAACTTTTCCATACTATGCAATATCTGATAGCAAAGCCTAGGTAATTACTGTGCTTGAAATCATGCTTCCTCACCACTGAATTCCGTAGTTTGTTAAGGGAATCATATTATCATCTGAAAAAAAAGAGGGCATATTATATAACTTGATTGTCAAAATAAAGCATTGAATGTAATGAAACACCATTTTCTGGGCAAGTCCCGGAGCTATCCAGGCTGATTAGGATATACTGTATTAGCTTTCTGGCATCAGTCAATGTGCATGAAGTTCTTGCCAACCGGGGACCACGAGCCAGAACCTGGGCCCCCCTCAGAGAGGTATGAGGAGCAATGGCCTATAGGTACCCCCATGTGGTTGGGAGCATTCTATGTCTGCCATTGACCGGGTCTGGCACCCAGAAAGGTAGGCACCCCCAAAACAAACCCCTATTTTAGTGAAAATATTGCTACCAAAAACTGAACGCGTGGACAGAACTCCCCAAACGAAAATTAGCAAAAACAAGCATGACATCATTACGTTGCCGCTCCGCTGTCTGTGCAACCCCCCCCCTCCTCCTTGGGAGGGGGAAGGGGGGAGCCCCAGACCCTCATGCCAGCAATCGCCCCTTCATTTCTTAGGCTGGATGTCAAAACACGTGAAAAACACTGACGACCGGAGGAAGGAATGCTGGGAAGCCTCTGGGACTCACCCAGAAAATGGCGTTTCATTACACTTAATGCTGGATTTTGGGGGGATGCCCGGTTGGCTCCCTGGAGCCAGCTACCCAAAGACAAGGAAAAACACAGGGACTTACCCGGGAGGCAGTCAGTCCTCACTCCCTAACGCGAAGTCGAGACAATTGGCTGCAACTGCCAATCCAATGCAACGCAGGCGCTACTAGTCCCAGGGACAGTGACAAGGTAGCAAGCGGAACTTGTTCAACCTCCAAAAACCCTGTTTCCCGAATGTCATCCCAAGACATGTTGCCAAAGACGGCAGCCAAAGCAGAAAAACTTACGAACGTCGTGGGCACGAGGATACACCGCAAGCTGGCTAGACTTAATAACCCTACGGACGACCTGGGAGACCCGAGCTCGGGAACATAGGAGGGAAATCGGGTCAACCCAAAGCACATCCCTGGTCACCGAAACCATGGTGCGCAAATAACGAAAGAGAGCTGCAACCAGACACAACGCATGATGCACCCCCGTCCTGACCAACCAAGCATCAACATCCTAAGGATCCCTCCAGAAAGCAGCAGTCTCATTCCTTGCCAGACAAGGAGACACCTGCAATCAAACAAACCTACCACCAGGACCAAAAAAGCAGAAACTCCTGCATCAGAGGAGAGCATGAAGCTCCCCGACCCAACCCCCAGAGGCCAATGCCAACAGGAAAAGAGTTTTAGAAAAACAGTCCTGAACCGAAGGGGCCACAACAAACTGCGGAGAAGAGAGAAAAGAGAGCACCCGGTCCAAAGAGCAGGACGGCTCAGGTGATGCATGAGCAGGCTGGAGGTGAAACAATGCATGAGACAGCTTGCGGAACAGAGAAGACGTAACATTAATACCGAACGCAAGCTGGAGCAGCTCCGCCAGCGCCGCACGATAGGAGGCGACAGTATTCGGCATAAGATGACAGTCCTGAAATGGTCCACAGCACAACACTACAAGGAACAGCACTGCTCAAGGATTGGAGCCAGAGTCGATCAACTGCCACCAAACACAACAGCCTCAGAACTAGGGATGGGTGGCCGGCCCAGGAGTTCTGGCATCCCCCCTTTCCTACTCCCGGGGAGGGAAAAGTTTAACGTGCCGCAGAAAGCGGCACGGTAGCTGTTGTGACGTCATGCTTGTTTGCTTGTTTTCAGATTGAGGAGTTCTATGTACTCGTTCGGCTTTTGGTTTGCAATGTTTAACCAGCTGTAGTTTGTTTTGAGATTCCTACCCTTCTGGGTGCCTGACCTGGTAGATGGCAGACATAGACTGCTTCCAACTACATAGAGCTGTCTATAGGCCTTTGCTCCTCGTGCCTCTCCGAGGGGGGCCCCAGGTTCTGGTAAGTGGTCCCCAGTAGGCCTAGAACTCCATCGATTGACTGCTGCCACGGTCTAATATATACACATCAGCTCGGTATAGCTCTGGGGAGCCAGAGGGGCTCTCCACAGAAAAGCCATGATAATTAATAATAAATCATATACAGTATAACGATCAATACAGTACCATAGTATATCAAGAATTATACTTCAGTGAAAAAAAATAATCCTGCTGAACCTCAGTATTATTACTCACCTTTGTCTAATTCTGGAGATGCTGAAAGATTCATCATTCGAGGAATTGATGGACCAAAAACATCCATATCGAGTAGGCCCACCTCACCTTGCCCATCTACTTTGGACATGGCTACAGCTAAGTTTACTGCCAATAAATAACATTATATTAATGTCATCATTACTGTCTATTGTACTGTATTTAAACCATACATGACTATGTATAATATGGCAGCATAAGCATTCCACCAATGACAACTTATTTTAATATCAAAAGAACTGATTAACACAACAGTATACATACAACTACAAGCAATCTCATTTAAAATATTTTAATTCTATTATTAGTGTTAAGCAGTTATTTTAAGTAAAAAAAAAAAACCTAATTACCTGCTGTAGTTGACTTGCCAACTCCGCCCTTTCCTGAGGCCACAACAATAATGTTCTCAACATTAGGAATACTTGAACGTTTGGGCAATCCACGTTTCATTAGCTTCTGCTGATGGTCTGCAAGTTTACTCTTCTGAGACTGGATTCCCTGTTTAAAAATCCAAAACGTATTCACCTAGTTGTGTTTGCAGGGGTTGAGCTTTCCTCTTTCGGCCCGCCTCTCAACTGTCAATCAACTGTTTACTTACTATTTTTTTTCCACACCACACACACACACACACACACCCCAGGAAGCAGCCCGTGACAGCTGACTAACTCCCAGGTACCTGTTTACTGCTAGGTAACAGGGGCATTCAGGGTGAAAGAAACTTTGCCCATTTGTTTCTGCCTGGTGCGAGAATCGAACCCGCGCCACAGAATTACTAGTCCTGCTCGCTATCCACCAGGCTACCAGGCCCCTGCTGTACAACAATGTGTGCTGTACAATCATTTAATATACTATATGCTAAACATACTTTGTGGCTGGAATAAAAGTGGACATTAAATACAAAAATACACATTTCTGCAAGAAGAGCCAGACCAAACGGTTTATATATGGTGGATATGTGAGCCTGCAGGCCACTCCAACCAACAGTCTTGGGTAGTAGAACTCCCAGAACCTCACCCAGGTATGATCCAGGTCCTGTACTGTTAATAATTCAAGTTAACTCTAAAATTAGAACTGTATAATTTTTACAAATACAGTACTGTAAAGATATTGTATTCTTATTCTGATTATTACCAAGTTAGTTAATACAATACAAATTCTTCCCTCTCACTGTACTGTTCTTTACTCTTTTTAATAATAAAATGGTAATGCTAGATACAAAAATAAAGAGCATGTTTCTTTTGATAGGTCAAATTAAATAAAAAAAAAATTACGTTATCTAATTAACTTTTATAATGAGTGCTACAACAAATACAAACTCTCTTTGTTGTGAGCAAGATTCCAGCAATAATTAGATTCTAGCCTACCCACTCTGTAGGTAGGTCATTACCCTATATTTAAGTACGTTAAAAATTTGCCTCAAAAGGCTAGCTTGCAGGGCAGCATCACTCATCCTGTGACTGAACACACTGCCATAGCAGCATGAACACCACCCAATAATACAAAGAAACCCGCTGAGTTATTCATCCTGTCACTTGTACCCAAATGAAGCTAGGACTGCCTAACTGTCTCAAGTGGACAGATTGTCAAATGTGAGGATGAATATTTACCAACCGTCAGACTTACATTTATTCAGGTGCAAAGTGGAACAATATTTTTAGGGACTACCTTCAGTTGACAAAAGGTGTTTTCCTAACTCAATGTGGATTATACTGCACATATTTTTAATGTGTCTTAGGTAGAAAGTCTCTCAAGTAGTGATCCAGACAATGGTCTCTCATAATGCAGATTCTTCAACTTCTCTGCTCAGCTGTCGCTTCCATCCCAAATTGAGTAGGGTTAAAAAAAAGTCCCAAGTCTAGTTGTGCTACATTAATGCTACTCATTAAACATACCTAACCTATGTTATCCTACCTTACTTTACCCTAAACTAACCTACTGAAAAAATATTGTAATTTGAGTTTTTTTATATATAGTATATGGTATACTCTATGAGGTGTGATGTCACTGACATTACCATCCTTCATTGCAGCATCCTTCTCCATCCTACTTCCCAAATCTCTAGGCCTACAATTTTATACTACACAGCCTACATTGTTTAGTTTACAGTTTTCCATTGACGGAAACAGGAAATCTGTTTAGCTCATTGAAGTCCCCCTACACCAATTGCTGACCTTATCAAGGCTGCAGCCCACAACAGTTCCCTAACTCCCAGATGCTCGTGCAACAAGAACATCAGGAGAAACATTGCCCAAATGCTTCTCCATGACCACTACTCTAGGAGAAACATTGCCCAAACGCTTCTCCATGACCACTACTCTAAGTGGCACTGGAAACCTTTTCATACTTACGAATGGGTCCTTATGAGTCGAAAAACGCTGAAAATGCATAAATTTAGCATATTTCTTAGTTAAACTAATTCCAGGATTAAATCCTTGAGCAGCCATCAGGAAAACCTTCCTGATAGGATGAAGGTGTAGCAACATCCTCGTACTATATAACCTCACACTTGTCGCAATATTTCAACTCATCCATAATAGGAAGTTGAACTTTTATATTCCCAAAGATATCATACAGTCATTTAACTTGATCAGTCTATAATAACTAGCGCATGTTAACCTTAGGGATTTTTCTTCACCCGCTGAAGGTATTAGAAATATAAATGTTATGGAAATGTTGATTGCAATTTTGAGTCTTTTAGTAAACTTTTTTATATTATAAGTAGTATTATTCGTTTACAAGTCAAATTATACATATATTTTTATTAATCTTGTATTATGTTTTTTAGTTTAGTGTTGGACAAGCCGTCGGCTTCCTGTCCTCGTCGAGGTCTCTAAGAGAGATATAGTGGTCCTCAGATAAACTGAGATAAAATCAGGTAAACTCAGGTAAATTAACTAGAACTTAAGAAAATCAAAAGAATAAACATTTAAACACACTATCCTTTCGAAAGGTTTCTTATTTATTCCGTCAGAGTGACTAATCACGACGCGAAGAAGATTGATTAACATTTGACGTTCTTACTTTGATTTGGGGGATTTGTTTTATGCTGAAAATGTTCACTAAAATATTCAGTATAAAGTCTATAAATTTTCATCCTGAATTCTGATAAGGGAAATTTACAAGAGTATTCAGAAGGGGGAAAAGTGGGAGTGATTCAGGAGGCCGGCGAGGTCCACACTCTAGACCCCACACCTGGCACTGGCACTGGCACGGGGGAACCTTCACCACCACTCCACCTACACTACAACAGCAACAAATATTATCAGTTAGCGGGAGGAGGAAGAATTTACACAAGAGGAGTGGCGGCGGCGGGACTGGTGTGAGCTGCGGGTCTAGCAAGGTAGACAGGTAAGGCCCCCGTGGTGGTGCAGTGGTAAAGCATTTGGTCGGGCGAGTCAATCCTTTCCCAAAGAATTGACTGGGTGCCAAGTCTTAACTGTAGCCTCTGTTCACCCAGCAGTGAATGGGTACCGGGTTAAATGATTTGGCGGGTCATATTCCTGGGGAAATTAGGATTATGTGTTGCTTTGTAAAATGCTTGCATTTTATTAGGATACTATATATTAGCTTGGAAACTAGCAGTTTACAGTATAGGATGCTAATATTGCATTATATTTATAAAGTATATTCTTTATATCACATTTGATTAAATATAAAGCCATGCTTGCTTTATTTATATATTTTTTAATCTTGCAGAATGTCATTGTCTACATCATGGTTTCTCCACCGTGCAGTGCGAAGTTTTTCCACGTCGGCCAAAACAAACATCAATTGTCATAGAGCTAGTATAGCACGCATTGGACGTTTGACGTATGCACGCATGTACCCAACCATAATGGTACAAAGTGATGGCTCAACTATCACCATTAGATACCATGAGCCAAGAAAAATAATAAAGGTATGACTGTGTGGTAGAATTAATCCAAATATTCACAATTTTAATAAACAATGACACACTCCACGCAGAGATCACACTAATATGATGCATCAAATGAACAAATCCACAAGGGCCATGACGAGGATTCGAACCTGTGTCCGGGAGCATCCCAGACACTGCCTTAATCGACTGAGCTATGACAGGGTAAAAGAGTTGAAACCAAAGTTCTACTGAACTTACTAGATCCCGTAGCCTCTCCAAGGCACAAACCAGGGTTTTACACAACTCCCCCTGCACCCGAGCTATGTCAATAGGCCGTTCTCCCTCCCGAAGAGGCTTTTCTGTGTGTGTGTGTAATTATCTAAGTGTAGTTACAGGATGTGAGCTATGCTCGTGGTGTCCCATCTCCCCCAGCACTCTTTGTCATATAATGCTTTGAAATTACTGACAGTTTTGGCCTTCACGACCTTCTCGCCTAACTTGTTCCAACTGTTTACCACTCTGTTTACAAAAGTGAATTTTCTTATATTTCTCCGGCAGCTTTGTTTCGTAAGTTTAAATCTATAACCTCTTGTTCTTGAAGTTCCGGGTCTCAGGAATTCTTCCTATCAATTTTATCGATTTCTGTTACTATTTTGTACATAGTGATCATATTGCCTCTTTTTCTCCTATCTTCTAGTTTTTGCATATTTAATGCCTCTAACCTCTCCTCGTAGCTCTTGTCCTTCAGTTCTGGGAGCCACTTAGTGGCATGTCTTTGTACCTTTTCCAGTTTGTTGATGTGCTTCTTAAGATATGGGCACCATACAAACGCTGCATATTCCAGCTTTGGTCTAACAAAAGTTGTGAACAATTTCTATATTTCTCCATCCATGTATTTAAAGGCAATTCTGAAGTTAGAAAGTGTAGCATAGGCTCCTCTCGCAATGTTCTTAATGTGATCCTCAGGTGATAGTTTTCTATCTAGAACCACCCCTAGATCTCTTTCTTCGTCAAAATTCTTTAAAGATTTCTCACATAATTTATAGGTTGTGTGGGGTCTATGTTCTCCAATTCCACATTCCATAACATGGCACTTATTCACATTAAATTCTATTTGCCAAGTGGTGCTCCATATACTTATTTTGTCCAGGTCTTCTTGAAGGGCATAACAAACACCAAGTTTCTTTTCTTCCTTATTATCTTAGCATCATCAGCAAACATGTTCATATAATTCTGTATTCCAACTGGTAGATCGTTCATGTAGACAATGAACATTACCAGTGCAAGAACTTAACGCTGTGGTACTCTACTTGTGACATTCCTCCAATTCGATACATTGCCTCTGATTACGGCCCTCATTTTACTATCAGAAGATGTTCATCCATGTTAGAAGCTTACCTGTCACCCCTCCAATATGTTCCAGTTTCCAGAACAACCTTTTAAGTGGAACTTTGTCAAAAACCTTTTTTAGGTCCAGATAGGTTATTTTTTATTTTTTGAACACCTTGTTATAATGGGCCTTAGTATTTTTATCTTACAGTGTACAGATACATATTTATGAGTCAGCATTGTGCTTGTATGACTTTCTCTTGTAAAAATTAATAATGTACTGTACTATACTTGATTTTTGTGTAAACTAAATCAGTTATAAATGTCCAACCATTGATGAATAGTTTTTAATACACAAATATAATATAAGAAATTTAATACAAGAAATCACACTAACATGATATACTGTATATATATATAAATGAGAAACTCAACTGGAGCACTGAGGTGACTCATCCACTCACCTTACCACTATACCACCAGCTGCTGGAAGTTCCTTGATCACTGGTTCGAGTCACCTCAGGGCTCCAGTTGAGTTTTTAATTTTCTTGTTTACTCATACTCACGCATAAATCATTACCTTTATCAGATGCCACTTGACCTAACCACTCTTACTGAAGCTGAGAGGAGGAAGCGCTTAGAAAGTCGCAAACCTAAAATTAAGGTAAGTTGTTCCTTTGTTTCTGCTTGCTTTATAGTGGGAAATGTAAAAAGGGAGTTGCTGTCTATTGTATATATTATTAGAGAAAGACAGCCATAAAGAAAAACCTTTTGTTATCAAAGTCAGTCAGATTGGTGTATGCATAATGCATATACATAAGAAAATTATAACATTTGCAAAGGACAAGAATATTTAGTTATGTACTTATAATATAATTGATATGAGTTAAATACTTTTAATGTTAAAAGATTTTTCTGGCCAAGGCCCTCTCAATTGCTTCTCTAGCAAAGGATGACAGGATATTGTGAGTTATGTTCTTGTCAGTATGAGGATAAGGAAACATAATAATGCAAAGACAGTGCCTTGTAGGACTGAGCTTCACATCCTATTCAGGATGAATTTTGTTTGATTTTCTGTCACAAAGTGGTTTGGTTGAAGCCTACCCCACCTGCTTCACGTTGGGAAGGGGGGAAAAAAAGAGTGGATGGCTTTAAGGTTCTTCGTTTCCTGATGGAGGTACTGAGGTATAAGTTATTCCTCCTCCAAAGTAGGTAAGGTGTTCACCCAGTACTGGGAGAGTTCATTGGATCCAGTTTGCATATCACCTCAGCTATTTCATGGTAAGACAGTGTGATGGAAGATGTCAGCATATATATGAGCGGGCATGTGCTGGGAATACTGTACTTTAATCTTCTGATGTTTCTCATGCTGAACCAGTTTGGGTTTGTAGTGAATGAGCAAAAGTCCCAGATCTTGCCTGTGCAGTGCCATCAGTGGCTAGGGTTGGTTTAGGACGCCTGAACCGAGGGGGTTCTCTTCAGTCCTTGCCTCTTTGGGGCTAGTTGCTTTGAGTGGCTCATCTGCTGGCTTCTCAGGGTTTGGCTCTCTGTGCGGTTCATATCTGGGGAGTGTCCAACGTCCTGGCAGATGGCCTGTTATGGTTCATTCCCCTGTTCGTGGTATGGACGGTCAACACTGATTCTTTTATTTGGCTCTGCTATTGATAAAGATAAAAAAATATTTAAGTTGAAAGATGTGATACAACTGAAGATCCTTGATATTGTCACTTGCAGAGACTGAACTGGAAAGATAATTTTTAAACGAGGTGATATTCCCGTAGTCTGAAAATGATTTAGGAAAAACAAAGAAGATGGTAAGGTGGACAGAGATATGCTCTCTGCTGTCTCCCCACCCCTAAACTATGGGAAAGTATAATTTGAACTGTTACTTGTTCTTGTGGGGATCACAGTCAACCAGACCTGGCATGCTAACAGTAACCTGGGTGAAACCATGGCCCTGGCAGTTAGAGCAACATTTGACACACTATTTTTAATATTCAGTAGAACAGCATTATTGACATGCTGTACAGGAATAGTAATTAATTACAGTGCTTCCTTGTTTATCTTTCGTGTCCTTTAAATCCCTAAAATTTTCACAGCTGACATTTTTGTCCATTAGTCTTATCTATTCTCTGCATGCCTGCATACAAATCCTTCATTCATTTTATAATTGTTGAGAGATTTCAACCAACAAATATTTATTTTCATACAGGTCGTGATAGAAGATGATGTTGACGATGACTTTAAATTGGATTCCTACGAACATCTATGGAAGAAGTAGTATTCTGACAATTGACCTTATGACAATTGTATAAAAAAATAAAATAAAAACTTTCACTTTATCCCAGAAATCATCATCAATCACCAGCTATATATCTGACAAATTATCAAAATACATGTATTTTTAAGCATATGTAACTGAATATTTTCTACAGGAACTTTCTACACATCATCATTTTACACAATGAAGTCACAATAATGTGATATATCTATGAGAAACTCTGGAGGAAGACAAGGGGATGGAACCAGCATTCTGTGTCACTACAGGATACTGGTTCAGTCTCACTGTTCTGCTCCTAAGAGTTCTCATCATTGTTTTAGAACATGAAATGATTGTGATCATCATTTTGATGTATGTGGACATACAATATATGATTTGTATTTGATCTCATTTATTTCATTAGAAAAGCATTTTTAGTGTCCTCAAAGTTCAGAAATAGTTTTTTCATGTCACTTTTCCTTGGAATGCAGAAAATGGTAAGCCATATGTTCCAGAAGTTCTCCAAAGGCATCAAGTTATCTGGCTAGTTAGTTATCTACTTAGCTGCAGTTTTATGTAAGGAGCATCATGTTTAAGGTGCTTTTTATATCTTTGATTATAGAAACTCTTAATTGTAATACAAGCTTAAGCCTACAATAAAAGATCCTTTTGATTGTTGGCATTAAACTAGTGTATTGTAGTATACTGTATATTAAAAATCTGTTTGTATAAAGGTAACAAAAATAATTTTTTTTCTTTTCCTTACATTTAAAAGACAAAAGTATTCATACACTGATAACAAATTATGCTAAATTTATACCATTGTACCTCCTCACTGTCCGGCCTGTTGATGCCGTGAGGGGACTTGGTGGGCTTGTTGTTCCTACTTCCTGAGCAACTTTGAGTGAGTGGTGGATTTTAACTCCAAGGTCCTTTTCTTCACCAATCTGCTGTAATGTAATGTTATTAATTTAGTAGTTGTGGCGTGGGTTGCTATGTACAACATGCAGGCACTTGCATTTGTCAATATTAAAAAGCATTTGCCAGTCTTCTGACCATTTGTAGAGTTCTTTTCTGGAGTTCATTGACCATTTGTCGAATTTCTCCAGTCAGATTGATTTCCATTTAGGATGACCCTTTGCTTTTTTAACCATTGTGTTTTATCCAAGTTTTCTAGTACAGTACTTGCCATTTCTTCCATGTACATGTAATTTCCTTACCCGTCTTTCATGTGATATCTTATCAAAAGCTTTAGAGAAGTCGATGTATGATGTCTACGGGAAGTCCTTTGTCTGTCGCCAGAAATATGAGCAGTTTTGTAAAACAGGATTTATTTGGAACAAAACCATGTTGCGTTGATTTTACTAATTATACACTGAGATAGTGATAGAGCTTTTCGCAACCGAAAAGCCCCGGGTTCGATACCGCGCTGGAGGAAGGTATTTGGGTACTTTTCCCCACTCCTGATTTATCTGTTTACGTAGCAGTAAATATGCAGGTGTTGTCTGCTGCATCCTGATGAAGGTCAGGTGTTGGCTAGTTAGAATATTAGAGAACTTCGGTAAGTCTAATATAAGACTTTCTGTCGCCTGATAGCGAGAAGCGGAGAAACTCGACCATACAATATGGTCAAATATGACATTAATATACTTCTCACGTCTAGTCACACAAATCTGTTAAGAAAGCTGCAGTTATTAATCGGTCCTGCAGACTGCATCTAACAATGTACACTTTACACTTTTTTTTTATCTTAGTTTAAAAATATATAAAATAATTTACCGATCGTCTATATATAACAGCGTTCTCTCATGCCTGATACGTTTTTATGAAGTGGTTCTGACGTCAGTACATCATGTGATAAGATACAGGAACACTGGTATCTCGAATTATAATGAAAAACATCGCTCGAGTTATGAAAATAGTTTTGACAATCACTCAGTTTGTTGTTGAGGACGTGGACTCCTGTGAGGGCACAATGGCGCACCCACTGTGGTTGATCCACTGTGATTGGTTGTGGTTGATACATGTCTCACCTTCATCACCCACTGTGGTTGATCCCTCATCCCACAGTGGTTGATCCCTCATACATGTCTCACCTTCATCACCCACTGTGGTTGATCCTCATACATGTCTCACCTTCATGACCCACTGTGGTTGATCCTCAAACATGTCTCACCTTCATCACCCACTGTGGTTGATCCTCAAACATGTCTCACCTTCATCACCCACTGTGGTTGATCCTCATACATGTCTCACCTTCATCACCCACTGTGGTTGATCCCTCATCCCACTGTGGTTGATCTCTCATACATGTTGTCTCACCCCATTTAAAAAATAAATAAAGAGGTTCAAGCACAATAATGATTATTATTATTATTACTAAGGAATCATCAAGATATTCTATATATATTTGCACTTTACTCCAGGAAGTAGTGTGGCAACACCGGGCAGATTTAACGACGTCATGCTGTAATTTGCATTTATTTATGTACGTCTGTTACAGCCTTTGCTTTTTAAATTACTTCTTCTTCTTTTTGATAGTAGATGCAGTTTGCATGAAGGAATTGTCTTCCCGATGACTGCACACAAATTACATTACCGTTGTTTATTTATTGATTATTTGTTTATCTAATCTTTTTATTATCTTCGTCGCATGATCTTGATAGGCTACTACTGCTCATAGTAGTGAAGTATCCGGGTAATGTAATTTAAGCAAGACTAAAATACCCAATTTTTTATTATTATTATTTGGCATAGTGAAAGGTAATGGATACTATAGCGCAGTGGTCTACGTCCTCTGTTTATAGCCAAGGATCCCGGGTTCGAATGCCGGTTGGGACAGACCGAGGGACACAATTCCTATCACCTGATGCCTCTGGTCACCTAGCAGTAAATAGGTTGCCGGGAAATGCGTAAATAGGTAATTATTGTGGGTTGGATCCTGGGATGGGACTATATTACGACTATATAGCACTTGGAAGGGGTCAGGACGAGGATTATAAATGGGAAAGGAATTGTGCCCAACCACTTGGACGGTCGGGGATTGAATGCCGACCTGCATGTGCGGCGGGGTCGCTCTTCCGTCCAGCCCAAGTGGTTGAGACTACCATTTTAAGACGGTTTAAATGGTTAAGGCTTATAATTCCATTTCCACAAACTTGACCTAAATTAAAACCAATGTTGTTGCTTCATTCCCAATATATTCTTTATATATGGAATGTACACCTTATTCTTGGTTTCATCTATGAAACCGAAAAAAAACAGGAATGTTGGTAGACATTAAAGAGGATAGTGCAAGGAAGGCGGGCGGCAGCGTGGCCAAGCTCTCCCGTGATCCCAACGACCCCGCGCGTCCGCTCTCATGTAGCCATCTCTCTCTCTCCCTCCTCTCTCTCCTCTCTAATGGCCTTAACCACATTACTTTGGAAAGGTTCGGTCTGTCTAATAAGTTTATTATGCACGCCATACCCATCCTGTGAGCGAGAGTGGACAAGATTAGACACACATAAGTGACAGTGTTGGGCAGCGTCACTCAGGCTGTGAGGGAACAGGCTGCCATTCAGCATGAACAGCACCCCCTCAATCGGTTGCAATCCCCCAACAGTTGACAAACTCCCTAGTACCTACTGCTAGGTGAACAGAGGCATTAGGTGAAAGGAAACGTGCTCTGCCATTTCTGTCCCGCCAGGAATTCCCCCATACTGAGTCGAGAATGCACCTAACTGTACTAGAGAGAGCCCAGTTTAGACCCACTTGCGGGTACAAGCGGGTACCTTATACTTGGTGTGGTGAGGCGGGCAGGACAGGCACCGGCAGCTCGCCTTTATCACTGGTGTGGGTGTACGTGATCCTGGCCCCGGCCCCAGTTACTACGCACTTAACTCACCCTCATCCACATGCCCACCTCCTAGCTGAGTGTGTTTATAACTGACCCCACATGCCCCTCCTCTGGGTGGTGGCGGAAAGGTTATAAGTCACATAATGGATTCGTGAAATGGAGCGGGTTTTCTTCCTATTGGGGAGTGTTGTACATGCTGCTATGGCGGTATGTCCACTCACAAGATGAGTGGCGCTGTCCAATAAACTCGCCCCTCGGGGCAAAATTTAAAATTTAAAAAATTGGATCTCAATGTACTTTATGCTAAGCAACGTTTGGATCTTCTGTGTATTTCAGCATTGTTGGAAGATATTGAGATGTAAGAAGCCATGCAAGTTAAGCGGTCGTTGATCAATTATTCAGTTATTAGGCAGTAGTGGATCCCATACCCATCCTGTGTGCGGTAGCGGAGGTTACAGAGCCACGTTAAAAAGCAGAGGTACTTGGGTCAGATTCACGAAACAGTTACGCAAGTACTTACGAACGTGTACATCTTTCCTTAATCTTTGGCGGCTTTGTTACAATTATTAAACAGTTAATGAGCTCCGAAGCACCAGAAGGCTGTTTATAACAATAACAACAGTTAATTGGCAAGTTTTCATGCTTGTAAACTGTTTAATAAATGTAACCAAAGCCGTCAAAGATTAAGGAAAGATGTACACGTTCGTAAGTACTTGCGTAACTGTTTCGTGAATCTGTTTTGCCGTGGTGGCGGAGTGGTCTTTGGGTTGAGGAAGAACATATAATTCATAATTCATTGGGTGCACAGGCAGCAACAAAGCAACGGTCCCTTCTGGAAGGATGATGTAATCTTTTAAAGTATTCCTGGCTACTCCATCCGCACATATATACTTTACACAAAATGGCGACAGGATGATCGTGAGGGAGGGATGTTGGGGGGGGGGGGGGCAGGAGCAGTGGCGGCACTGCGTCACGCGTCAACAGACGTACATCCGCTGACGTCAGGCACACCGCGGCCAACCGCAACGCTACTGCGTCGCGGACCAGACGTCCGCTTGAGACATAGCCGGAAAAATGTGGGCTGGGAAGGCTAAGACGCTACGTATCGACACGCGACGTCATCAGTTTAGTGAAGCCTGTGACGCCACGGCAGGATGTTCAACATAAGAACAAAGGTAACTGCAAAAGGCCTATTGGCCCATACGAGGCAGCTCCTATCTATAACCACCCAATCCCACTCATAAACATAAGAACATAAGAACATAAGAACAAAGGTAACTGCAGAAGGCCTATTGGCCCATACGAGGCAGCTCCTATTTATAACCACCCAATCCCACTCATATACTTGTCTAACCCACGCTTGAAACAATCGAGGGACCCCACCTCTAGCACGTTACGCGGCAATTGGTTCCACAAATCAACAACCCTGTTACTGAACCAGTATTTACCCAAGTCTTTCCTAAATCTAAACTTATCCAATTTATATCCATTGTTTCGTGTTCTGTCCTGTGTTGATACTTTCAATACCCTATTAATATCCCCCCGGTTATGTCCATTCATCCACTTGTAAACCTCTATCATGTCACCCCTAACTCTTCGCCTTTCCAGTGAATGCAACTTAAGCTTTGTTAATCTTTCTTCATATGAAAGATTTCTAATTTGGGGAATTAACTTAGTCATCCTACGCTGGACACGTTCAAGTGAATTTATATCCATTCTATAATATGGCGACCAAAACTGAACTGCATAATCTAAATGGGGCCTAACTAGAGCAAGATATAGCTTGAGAACCACACCAGGTGTCTTGTTACTAACGCTGCGATTAATAAATCCAAGTGTCCGATTTGCCTTATTACGAACATTTATGCATTGATCCTTTTGTTTTAAATTCTTACTAATCATAACTCCC